CATATTGCTCCATAACGCCAGCTCATCAACGTTTACAGGCAGCTATGGCTTGGCGACTCACGCTGTAGCACGCTACCAAAACCACGCCTGCTGCACACACTACTTGTCAAGAGCAGTTCCTGCTGTCATTTCCAGGCAAGCTTGCAAGAACCATATCTTCTGTTTTCACTTTCGGTGCAAAAGTCCAAAACCATCTTGCTGTCAACATTTGCCGCATTCACCCCCCTGGACCACAAAGCCCGGCAAACCACAGCTGCAGCTGGAGCGTCAGGCTCCCACACCACAAGTGGCACCGTCACTGTGACATTACACTGTAGCTGCAACAGAAACATCAACGTCGGAAACATCCCGAATTTTCAATCCCAAAATCGAAAACCTCCAAAAAACAGCAAGACATGATTATTTAAATTTTCTTAGAAAAGTCTGCATGAACTCTTGGCAAGGGATGCACAAACCTTGAAGGATCAAAGATACCAGGCGCAACATGTCCGACAGAACATGCATGAACTGAAGCTTCCTGCTTTTTCCAAAATTGCTACTGTCAAGGACTCGAACCACTCATGCAATGCTCGCAACCGTCCCAATTGCAACGTTTGCGCGGCCAAGCACAACCTGCAACTACTGCTTTGCAGACATCACATGTGATCTCGTCCGTGTGGACCCAATGCTTCTGGCGCCTCAAAAAAACTGTAGTTGATGTGGATACCCTTCGTTCTTCTAAAAACCGGCCGTATGACCTTGGGGACAAAACTGTCGTCGGGCCGGCTGGGCTGACCAGACGGCTCAGAGTCAACAACATGCTCGAAGTTGACTTCAAGGCTACGGGCAAAAGGCTGTTCATCAAAAGCTCTATCTATACAGTGCCTTCTCCCATTCGAGGACGTTTACCCGGACGAACACACACAACTTCTAGAGCACTGTCCTCACTGAGGACTGCGGATCCTGATGTCAGGCGACGCACAGGGTGAAGTGGTTCTACCCGTGCACTTACATGGACTGCATGTCGGACATCCTCTTCAGGCCGCAAGATGCTCTGAAACTGTTGCTGCAGTTCTTCGGGCAAAGATATTCGCAAGGATTGTGGGTCAGGTATATGCTGTGGATGCGCATCCGTCAATCCCGAATACGGCATAGAAGGTCAGAAAAAGATCTGTGTCTCCATGCCAACCACGGAACTCAGCCAACAAGTGTCCATACGTGTTCTTTCCAACCTTCTTCATGCATTTCTTTCGAGGTCAAGTTTTCAAGCGACCAAACAAACCCTCTGCAGCATTGCTTGTGACGACTTGTCGCACCCCAAAGATCTCTTTACCAGGGTAACATAGTCTTCATGTGCATCTTCAAGTGCCTGTATCAGATGGGGGCCTCAGATTGTCTGCTTGGTCTTGGATACCAAGCCTGTAAAGTTGGTAAGGCCAACTTTTCTCCCCTGTGCATTCAAAAAGTCGTTGCTCCTTGCTTTCCTGTTGTCTGCCTTCATCCAGGATGCTGTGGCACTGGCTTGGGTCATCACCAAATGACATAAGTCTGATCATGTAAGGCAGCGCCGTCAATTGGATATCTTTCCTGGTAGTCGGCAGAGGGGTGATCTTTGACCACCATGTTGCTGGCATGGGCCAGTACAGGAAATCCATATCCAGGCATCTAGTTGCAAGTGCTGGGAGTGATTGCAAAGCCAGTTTCTGTGGCCTGGGTGGCTTTGGCCTCCAACTCAGCAATTGCAACAAGGATCTCTTCTACGGCTGTGGCCTGCTGGCTGGCCCTGAAGCCACCAGCCTTGCCACATGTGGGTCATCTCTTGGTTCTGGGATCTCATGCATCCATCTTTCAGACCTGGGTGGCTAACTTGCAAAAGGTGCCCACAGCAAGCTCATAACAAATGGTCGCAAGGCTGTGACAACATTCTTCCACTTGTGTCACTTGAGCCAACTGCCAAGTTGGATACAGCCAGCTTCCAGTGCCATGCCTATCTGAGAAGCATGTGGGCAGTCTTGCAGCCCACACAGCACGATCTCGTCAATGCCAACTCTCTCTCTCTCTCTCTCTCTTTCTTTCTCTCTCTTTCTCTCTCTTTCGCTCTTTCTCTCTCTCCCTTTCTCTTTCTCTCTGTTTCTCTCTCTTTCGCTCTTTCTCTCGTTCAATCTCGTTCTCTTTCTCAATTTCTCTCTCTCGCTCTCTCTTTCTCTTTTGATTTCTGTCTCTCTCTCTCTCTCTCTGTCTCTTTCGCTCTTTCTCTCTCTTTGTCTCTCTCTCTCTCTCTCTGTCTCTTTCGCTCTTTCTCTCTTCTTGTCTCTCTCTCTCTCTCTCTGTCTCTTTCGCTCTCTCTCTCTCTCTCCCCCTCTCTCTTTCGTTCGCTCTGCTCTTGCTCTCTCAGTCTCTCTTTCTCGCCCTGTCTCTCTCTCTGTCTGTCTCTCTTCCTCGGCACGAAAAAATTCCTGCTGCACAGTAGAAGAAGAATCAGAGCAGTCATCGTCATCATTGTTATCTGAGCGATGTGATAGAATAGTCTCTCGTGGTGCACAATTCCGGAAGTAGTTGGTTCCGCTTGTAATTTGCCACTGACGTCCCCCACCAGACCATAAACTACAAGGATTGCCGAGCGGGCGGCCAAAGCACTCCAGATGCTTCCTCAGCCGTCAAAAACTCTTGGTCTTGTTCTGCCATCCGTCAAACACAAACAAAATCTTGGCCAGGGCAAATCTTGGCCTGAAATGTGTGCAAAAATCGAGTTTTGTGTGCTCAACACAAACTTGATCAACGCACAGTAGAACCACCAGCAACAGTAACCACACCAAAAAACACAAAAAAACTTATACTCTCAACAGATTCGAAGAACCAAACACAAAAAATAACTAGCACAAACTGCCCAAAACAAACAAACAACAAAGATTACAAAACATTGAACAAACATGTTACACGGCCCCACAAAGTAGATAAAATCAAACATATTTGCCGAAGTAGACCAATACAGACACCTGCGAGATTTGTAGTGTAGTGCGACATCCAGCCACTTCGCGATTGAGACTTCGAAACATCACAGATTCCAAAGCGTCACAACTAACAGCAGCAAGTTTGACGTTTGGCATTCATCTTGCATCATCGAAAGCCCCACCCCGGCTCGTTCATTCTGCCCTCGCTGTGGCAGGAAATGAAACCTTTACATTTCCTAAGATTGGACGTTTAGAGTTCTGAATCCATGCAAAACACGCATTTAGTTGAAAACACCGGAACATGCACAGAAGCACAGGGACACTTAGAACAGGAGACTTCGTCTCAGATTCTTGACTTTTTTGTGCTTGAAACTTTTCTGAATATGACCCGTTGAACCAAAGAAGCATAGGTTAACAAAACAAATCAACACACCGTCTCTTTCAATCTGCAAGAATTTAACATTACAGCAATAACTTGCAAAACGAGACGCCTTCGATAGGGAGGGGTGGGGGGAATTGTTGTTCGTGGATTTGGCGAACAACAACCCCCCCACCCCGTGGAACAGGGGGTGAAAGGGGTATGTTCTTGGAAGCAACAACGAACAACAACAGGGTATGTCCAAAACCAAAAACCACTTTTTGTGCCAACTCTTTGGTGGCTTCCACTTTGGGAAACTGTTGCATTCCAAGGTGAAGTCAGAAGCTTCGATGTTCCGTCTTGGAAGATTTCCAGAAGTGTAGGCCTTCCAAGAAAGGATCTGTTCCAGCGAGGGGTCCAATGAAGGTTCGATGACCCGGATGTAGTAGTCTAGCCTTGTAGCCATGGAGCCCTTGCATCCCCTCTGTTCCTAGACTCTTGCCCAGGGTCTGTGAAAGACGTGTACAAGCTCGCACATGGAAGCTGCAAGATTGGGTTTCGTTATGTCTATGCCTCAATCTCTGGCTCAGTGTCTCCGAGGGGGACGCACATGTTGCTGCGCTGAGTGTAACTCCTACTATAGCCGCATAACCCTAAGACTCCAAACGGCCCAAAGTAGGTACCATTTATAGCCCAAAGTGGTACTATTTGTATACTTGGAGTCTTAGGGTAAGAACCAAGAAACACTATGTCCCACAAGCCAACTCAAGCTTCCGGCTCAGAAATGCTAGCACCACCGCTCGCAAGCACAGGTGCCAACTTACTGCCGCGGGTCCATGTTCCGATATGGTACATCTTTGGACCCTAAAGTCCGAACCGTAAACCGTAAAGTTCTATACTTAGGCACTATACTCTGTGGGTACATGGACCTCTGGAAGCCCAGGATACCTCTTGACCATAAGCATGTAAACTTCGAGTGCGATTATGGAGCTCGGCAGCCCCTGCATAAGGTGACTGAGGATCACTAAACCCTAAACGCTAAACCCCTAAACCCTAAACCCCCAAACATGCACATGTTGGAATACGGTTTCTTGATGCCCATCATCGTGCGTCTTGCTTCGGGGACAAGGTCCAGCTCAGGATACCCAAAGACCCCCAAACTCAGCTTAGAGCAAGGATACATAAATACATACATACCTGCCTGCGTATCTACACACATATGTATGTACGTGTCTGTATATGTACATGTGTGTATATCTATACGTACATGTATACGTATCTGTCTCTGTATCCGCTTCTGTTATTGTCTGTATGTGTATATATATATACATAAACATATATATATACCTATACATTTATATACATTTATACGTTGATACATTTTTACCTTCATACATACATACAAACAAACATACATACATACATACATACATACATTACATACATAAATATATGTATGTGTATGTACCTGTGTATATATACACACGCACATATATATATATATACATTTAATTGTATTATTCACATATTCATTTCTTTGTTTTACGTACTTACTTACTTGACCAGGTATTACATTTGTGTACTTATTCATTTTGCATTTGTTTGTACATATATATATATAGACACAGACACACATACACACACACACAAACACACACTTGTTTGTTTCATAGATCGCCCAAACCCGGGAAAATTGCAAAAGCCGGTGTCACCGCGCCGTCCATGTCGCCCTCCACACGCATGTCTGGAACATACATGCAAGACCTGTGAAGCGAGGCAAGGGACGGAGAACTGAGTGCCTAGAGTCATTTCCAAGTTCCAAGAAGGTACTTGAGGGCGGTTCTGAAATATGAAGCCCTAAGGGGGTTTAGCGCTTCATCATTGCCAATTAAATACAGGTTCTAGGGTCCTAAGTGCGCTGTCGTTGGGATATGGTTTCTGAGTTGCGTATACTGCCTGGACCACCCAACCCACCTTAAGATATCCCTGCCCAAGAGAAGCAAATGCGGGCCGTGAAGCATTTCCATTCAGAGCACTACGACGAAGTACTGAATTTCTGTGAAGAGGCGGCCCAGGCTGTGATCAGTCGACTTGTGTATACTGTTGCTGAAAAGGTGCAGCTTGAGGTGTAGGGCTGAACATTTTCCTTAACATCGCGGCTCCAGGAGCGTCAGGCTTAAGGCGGCTTTAAAGGTAGGGAGGGTTTGGGGACCCTCTACCCTCAACCCTAAACCCTCAACCCTAAACTCTCAACCCTAAACCAGAACTTCGATCCTGAACCCCAAAAAATATATAGCTTAAACTTTACCCCCAAATCGGCGAATTGCAGCAGCACTTTAATCCTAGGATACAAGCCCAACATATCCCTTAAACCCTATGATACGTACCCTAGGCCTTGAACCCTAAACCCTGAACCCTAGGCCCTGAACCCTAAACCCTGGGCCCTGAACCCGCCCAGACCGCCCTGAACCCCAAGTAAGGCCCTGAACCCCACACCCTGAACCTTAAAACCTGAGCAGTGAAGCTGGTTTTTGTTATCGTTGAATTTGGTAGTTTCTTCGTTGAAATAAATTCGCGAAGCAAAAAGTCACATTCAACGAAGAAAATCATGTTCAACGAATGGGCCGGCAATCGTTGAACATGACTTTTCCTTCCTTGAACATGGCTTTTCTTCGTTGAGTTTGATTAGAAAGACTAGAAAAACGGCATATTCAACCAATGAACTAAGGTTTAGATACATTGACATATGATAAAGAGTGCTTCGGGTTTCCACAGCCAACGCATCCTAAGGTTCAGACATTCCGCTGCCCTCGGCCGCGACCATTTCGCGGAGCATGGCCATTACAGCCTCGCTGCCTCTGTGGGTGAAGAGTGCTTAGGATTTAGATTTGCGGGGCCTGCTACTGTCGATGTCTGCTAAGTCGTCACGATTGGTTTCACGCGCCTTACATCGTGGATAGTGTGGTGCAGTCTGATTTTGTTCTCTTGTGAATCTCCAGGGTGTGTAGACCTGGAACAGCCACCTTTTCGCATCCGTGAGTTCCGGCATGGCTTCGTCATGTCTTCAGGTCGGGTTCCCGGGGGTGGCTCTGTCATGTCTTTAGGTTCTCTCCGTGCAGGGGGCTTGAAGGGGGCTTTAAGGGCGCTTCAAGGGGTCTTTAGGGGCTTAAAGGTGACTTCAAAGGGGCTTGGGTACACAGATTTGGCTTGGGAATCTCCAGATTACCCACCCTGAGCTGGAAAGCTGGCAAGCTTGACTCATTGACCTAAACCCTAAACCCTAAACCCTAAACCCCTAAACCCTAAACCCGACATCGCGAAGCTAGGGCAGCTAGGTCAACGCCTGAACTCGTAAGATATGTAGACTTCCCCTAACGAACCGAGTTCCACCAGAGTCATTCCCTCCCAAAAGAAACCTTTTAAACCCTAAACCCCTAAACCCCTAAAACCTAAACCCTAAACCCCAAACCCTTAAACCCTTAAAACCTAAACCCTAAACCCCTAAACCCTTAACCCCTAAACCCCTAAACCCTGCACCCTAAACCCTACCGGCCCACCGACCTGCCATCCTAAACCCTCGAGACGGATTCGTGGATCCTAGCACTGGGACGAGGGTTTCCAGGACTTCTCGCTCGGTTAATGTCGGGGAATAGGGCTTTGGGGGGTTCCTTATTATCTTGGTTCCTGAGTAGCCTCTTTATAACAAGGGTACCCTTTTCCTACTATTCGGTTTTAATAAGGGGGCCCTAAAATAAAAGGGCAAAAGGGTACCACTCAGGGACCTAGTTATAATTATACTATAATGGGCCCCAAAGACCTATTCTAACTATTAAGGCCCCTATGTTACCTTGAAATGCCAAAACCTTCCTGGTTGTAGGACCGTAAGGACTATGTATTTAGGTATTGTGTAATTTATCCTAAGGGTCCAAGTACCTAAAAGTCCTGTACTCTCCCAAATATTAACCTAGATAACTGCTATCCGTAACCCAAGTACCTCATTACTGGGCCCTTTGGACCCTTAGGGCTAAACCCTAAACCCTAAACCCCTAAACCCTAAACCCCTAAAGCCTAAATCCCTAAAACCCTAAAACCCTACAGCCCTATGGGCCCTTTGGATCCCTAGGGTTCGGCTCGCAGGATTTAGGGCTTCCGCAAGTACTACAGATCCAAAGCCGGATGGGGCCAGATGGGAGAGTTGATGGCATGGGCTCAATCAAACAAGTCAGTAGGGTTTAGGGTTTGGGGTTTTAGGGTTTTAAGGTTTTAGGGTTCAGGGTTTAGGGTTTTAGGGTTTAGGGCTAAGGGCAACCTCACGACTCAGGTCTCGCTAGGGTTCGGGCGATCCGTCAGCTTGTTGTGTGCCACCACCATGAAGAGCACCTGGTGCTAGCAGGGCATGGCATTCGGAGCTCATGATCCACAGCGCCTTCTCTGTCTTTGGAAAGCCTTAGGCCATAAAAATTAAGCGATAAAATCAGCTTTGACTTACCGTTTCGCTGAGACCTCCGGAACCTCGTTTTGGCCCCATGAACATGCTAGATCATGCCAGTTACAGGCACGAACCCCTACAAAGCTCCCCTACAAGCCCTGAGCCCTAAACTCCCAACCCCCTATTGAAATTCCAAGCTCGAACCCCCAAACAACAAACTCTAGGCCCAACACTTCTCCACACCCCTTACCCCCTAACCCCCCAAGAAAAACCTTAAACTTACACACTAGTCCAGACCGTTCTAAACCCCTGAACCCCTTTTAAGCCTTTACATCCTAAATCCTAAACCCGCAAAACCTGAACCCTAAACCCAAAAACCTGAACCTTAAACCCTGAACACCGGAACCTCTGGAGCGGGCCTTCTCTAAAGACTCCTTGCCCTCGTTGATCAGGTCCAGAAGCAGCTTGTCCTGGCGGGTTTTACGTACTGCTGATGATATAAATCCTGCATTTCTGGGAAATATGGGGGTTTCCGAAAATTAGGGGGCCCTAGTATAGTACCCTTAGTAGTAGGATCCTTAATAGAAAACGACCCCAGAATAAGGTACCCCTTGTCTTCGGAAACTCCCATATGATATCTTCCTGATTATGGGTACTGCAGGATTTATCCCATCAACCCTAGGCTGCCTTTGACAGGCTTAGGGTTTAGGGTTAGGGGTTCAGGGCTCCCTTTTTTACGGCTTTTCGGGGTATGGGATTCCTGTTAAAAGGGTTAGGGCAATCCTAAGGGTCCAAAGGACCCAATGATGAGGTACTTGTGCTACGGATAGTAGTTCTCTAGGTTGATAGTTTTGGGAGAGTATATGACTGTTAGGTACTTGGACCCTAAAGGTCTTTTTTGTAGGGCGTTTCCCCCTAAACCCTAAACCCTATAAGCCCTAAACCCTAAACCCTAAAACCCCAAACCCTAAACACTTGGTTTCAGGATTCCCGCCTTTCTTGTTTATAGGGCGTTTAGGATTTGTAGGGTCGAGGCCTAGGGGCTTCAGCTCTTGGCCGGCTTGGGGCTTTTAGGGTTTAGGGTTTTGAGGCTTATAAGGCTTAGGGCTTTGGGTTTAGGGCTCTTGGGGTTTAGGGCTTAGGGGGCTCGGGGTCTTGTTTGAGAGGCTCTTGGGTTGAGGTTTAGGGTTTACTAGTCACTAGGGTTTAGGGTTTACGCTCTAGAGTCTAGAGGCTTGGGGGTGGCTCCAAAGATCGTGCTCCTATCCCAGTCTCGCTTCACTTTTGACTACTTTGCGCTCGTGGCTGAAGGCTTAATTTCTGTAGGATGCCGGTTCTCATGGAGAGTCTGGAGAGTCTGTCTCTCTATCTCTGCATGGTCGGATTGATTCAGGTACATGTATAGATGCAGGCTGATGCTTTCTGATGACAGTGAGGCTTCAAAGTTGGAACATAATTTGGAACTACTCCCAGCTGGCTTGTCCGTCAATCTCTCTCTCTCTCTCTATCTCTCTCTCTCTCTCTCTCTCTCCTCCCTCCAAATCTCTCCGTCCTCTGCCCAGAGAACCCAATACCCCTTAAATAAGGAATATACCTTAAATCCTAGTAGTCAGGACCTTATAATTTAAGGTATATTCCTTAATTAAAGGGTGTTGGGCTCTTGGGTGTCTGCGTGTTCGTATGAAGCCTTCCCCCTCCCGTCTCCAGACTGCAGGAGACTAGTTGCAGCTATTTACTCTCTCCCATACCCTAAGGGTCCATGTACCCAAAATAGTATATACTTTGGCCTGAAAGTAGTCCCTGTATAGGTACTTTGGGGCCGAAGTAAAAACTATTTGGGTACATGGACCCTTAGGGATACAGAAATTCTAGCCCTCATCACATTATTTCAGCTGCTGCTTGCCACCAGGACCTGACTTCAACGAAGCTCCGAAATGTATCTTCAGCTCATCCCTCTATGCGTATACTATAAAAAAACTCCCAAGCCCTGCGACCCTATAAAGGGTCCCCCATTTGCAAGCACACTTATTATACCCTTGAAGGGGTTATCTTCATCCTGAAGCAATTGGCATTGCAAACCCTGAGTTCTAATCAGGTTCGGCGCACGTATGGCTGCTTGTTCCTGGACATGGCTGACGCACTTCGAGTGTTTGAGGCTTAAAGTTACTCTAGGTTTCCGCCACAAACGGGAAAAGTCGCACACACCTTGGCTACTGCCCCCAGGCAGTAACAGTCTATACTAGGGCTACTATTAACGGCCTTATGTATCCATATTGTGAATATTACTCAACTGCCCTTGAGTGGGGGCCGGTATCCAAGATACACCCTATGAGCCCTCGTCGCCTCGATTACCCCCAAACTGTAGCCCACAGTAGTTCTTGCGCCGACCCGACCTACCGTCCTTGATCCGATCTGATTTAGAGAACTACCCATGTACATACCTTAATCTCCGAAATGTGAACTGAACAACACTCATGTCATAGTCGATATGTAGTTGTAAAGCGTGGAGTGGGAGAGTCTACGATATACGCATGTTGTGCCAGCCGCCTGCAAGGACACAATAACCTGTTTCTCGCCTTTTATTCTGAGCGTCATGCGACATGTAGATGCCGGAAGGACACGTGGTTGTGGAAGTGTTACAGTTTCGGTTTAGGGGATTCTGAAGGTGCCATAGTTTGTAGAAGTCTGTATCAAAGTTCAAAACAACAAAGCACGGGAAGCTATGCAACCTTGGTCCTGCGAACCGACATAATGAGTACAAAGTAGGGCGTCTTTATGTGGAGTTTAGTGAAATCAGGGTTACCGACCATGCGGGGCAGAGGATGCTTCAGGATAGTACTGGTGCTAATTTACTAATTCTCACGTTGCCTGGAGGGGCGCTTCACGGCGGAATGCACAGACCATGCGCAATCGCCCATCCAAACAACAGTCGTCCAGGCCTCAAGCACGGGCGGTCCCACCAGTCTAGGCTCTATTCCGTAAACCCTAAACCCTGATGATAAACTTGAACCGAAATCCAGAACTATACACCAACAAATTGAGCTTGAAATCCGAACCCGAAGTCCCAAGCCCGAAACCTTGAACTGTTTGCCCCCAACCGTTACACCCCAAGTCCTAAGCCCTTACCCCTACACCCTAAACCCTAAGCCCTAAACGCTAAGTTTTCTGAGGCAAGGGCTGGATGGACGCCGCAAAGGGACGCTCATTGGAGAGGTACTTTTCCAGCACGCCGCGGACCTTAAGAGGGTTTAGGGCTCATGAGCTCCATAGTGTTTCGAGTTTAGGGCTTCTTGGGTGTTATGTTTTAGGGTTTCGCTTGCTTTTGCTTCTCTCTTCCTCTCTCTCTCTCTCTCTCTCTCTCTGCCTCCCTCCTGTTGCAAAGCAAGTACGGCTTGGAGTTTAGTGTTGCGGTGGCTTGTCACGAAGTGCTGGTCTTGAGTGACGTCGTACACCAGGATAAGAACCCTAAACCTTATAAGCCTTAATCCACAAACGACGGATGCAAGGTCTCGTGGACACAGTTCTTGATTCTGGAGTTACGGATAATAAAGTCTATTCACCTAAAGGGTGCCACGTACCTATGTAGTACGTATTTTGGCATCTGAGGCAGACCTCACACCGATGCCCCAAGAAACCTACCTCTTCAAGGATCCGTATTATTGTTTCTTGATAGATTCCTGTAGAGATACTGAAATGGGTTCTTGGGCAGTTTAAGGGCTCGACATCACAAAACCAAAACACTCACGGACACTTGTCGAACGCAGGGTCAGCTACCGCTCCTGGGCTTCTTGTGATTTCCTTCTATGCCTCCTCGAAAAGATCGATATCCCAAAGCAGCCCCAAGAAGACTCTAGGCGGAATCCCCATAAGGTAGCCAAGTACATACATGGGAGGAAGATCAAGGACTGAGGTTGAAAGTTGCGTTTTAAACCCTAATCTCTGGGTCCTAGTTGAAATGCCCTACCGGTGGACTCCATTGTAGTTCCTGTTTTTGGTGGCTGCCTTTTAGAATCCTAAATGTAAAAGACGGAACTACAATGCAGACTATAGGTCCAAGACCCTGAACCCTGTACGAGAACCCCCTAAACCGTAAACCCTGAATCCTGAGTTTAGAAAATGCCCATAATATAGAACCCTTGTGGAACACCAATAGAACCGTCATAGAAGGCCTTAAAGGAACTACGATGGAGACTTTCCAAGCCCCTAAACCCTAAGCTACACGTACTCCGTTTCGAAGCCAGCAGCAGTCTCGGCAGCAGCTTCCCGGTTGGCGAAGCCTAGTCAAGTCGCAGGCTGGTCACCGTTTAGGGCTGAGGGCTCAGGGTTTAAAAAGGGTTTAGGGTTTAGGGTTCAGGGGCTTAGGGATTAGAGTTTCTTTTTAGGGCTTAGGGTTTAGTTTCTCTTTTTTTGCGGGGGTTGTATCCCAAACGATGGGATTCTCATGGGATCCTCCAGAGTTCAAACATTTTTTAACAGGGCCGCTAGATTTATCGGGTTCTTTATCCGTTCTATGGGTCTGTTATGGGACTCTGCATGGGGTTTGATGGGTCTTTCCTAGTTCTTCGGGTATCTTATACCCTAACCCTAAACCCTTAAACCCTTAAACCCTTAAATCCTTAAGCCCTAAACCCTAAACCTATAGTCCAGTCATATCGGCACTGTCACGGGATAGTCAGGGGGAAGAGGTTGACATAGCCCTTGTTTCGAGGCCAAAAAAGGACTGAGTAGGGGTGATATGGGCTTTATAAGTCTTACTATTACCCGGATGCGGAAAAAGGTGCAGGAGTCAAGGGTCTAGTGTGGATGCCGCAAGACCATGTCCAAAACAAATTTATGGCATACGGCGAATCAAAGCTACAGACACCCCTCCGAAGTAAACCCTCACCCCAAACCTACCAAGGCTGCCAAGGGCTCGGATTTAGGGACCCATGCGGTAGGTAAGATTGGAAGCTGTGCCACGGTGGCATCCTTGAAGGCTTCAGCATCATCCTAAATATCCGAGGCACCTAAGCTCATCTGCCTGAGACTTCCAGCACATCCTAACATGAAGCTTCGGAAATCCAACAACCCGACGAGTATGCGGGTATCGTGTTCGCAAAGAATCCCGACATAGGCCCTATCAAACTTGAAGACGCGAGTGCTCGAACCCTTCAGGGAGCCCCCCATCAATTCCCTACTCCGACCCTAAACCCTAAACCCTAAGTCCATTATTAAACCTCAAGCGGCTGTCGAGGGAAACGTCGGAGAAATCTCAGCCAACAAGAAGCCTAACACCGGGAACCCTCCAGAACTTCCAACCCGAACCAAACCGCTGGGGCTCTAAAAGGTTTAAGGTTTAGGGCTTCGGGGCATAAGGTTTAGGGTTTCGGGTTTAGGGCTCTAGGATTTAGGGTTTTAGAGTTTAGGGCCTTATGCTTTAGGGTTAAGGGTTTCCTGAAACCCTCATAACACGATGCCCAAGTAACTAGATTAGGGTCTAGGTAGATTTCGATACTAACAACAGTCATCAGGGAACCCCAGCACATGTTTTTTCACTAATTTTTCAGGCCCCTTCCAAGCCCTTGTTACACAAGGATTTCGCCGTTAAACCTGCACGCTCACGAACCCTTATCAAGCATCCTAAAACCATCATAAGCCACACTTCTCAAAGCCTGAAGACACACTTATCAACTTCGATACCCTCACAGAAGAAGCCTTCATGAAACCCTAAGGCTCAACAAAGCCCAAAGGCCTTGCACAGTTCTGGGCCCAAAAGCCTCTGCTCGGCAGAGACATCTGGAATGACACAACGGAGAGGGCACCGCGTCCCCGCACGTGTGTCGGTGCTTTCGGCCCACCGCCGGATGCAATCATCATGAAACCAGTGCGAGCAGTGGAGCTGAAGCAACACGGTTTCTTGCTCGTCCCATAGTGTCCTGACAAATCAGACAGATAGGCAACTCGACCGGCTCTGCTTGGATCTCCTGCTGAAGTGTTCCTCCCTCGGCTGCAGTCTCCGGTGTGGGAACATCGCTCTGTGCCGGCTTTTCCAGGAGCTGGTGCAGAAGGCATGCCCTTAGCAGGAGCAGGGACTGCTGGCCCCCGGCGGGGGGGGGGGGGCACTGCATTTGCTGCGGGTGGGCTGTGGGCAGGTACTGGCACCGTGACTGGAGCGGGTGGCATTGCTTTGGCTCTCGTTTGCGCAAGCATTCGCCCCACATCATTGCTTGCTGGCGCCCTCGATCAAGGTTTCAGAAAGATCTTCAACTCAAGGAACCCCTAAACCCTAAACCCAACGAGCCCTATCCAGACCCTAAGCCCTAAGCCCTAAACCCCTAAGCCCTAAACCAAACGAGCCCTATACACACCCGGAGCCCTAAACCCAACAAGCCCTACACAAACCCAAAGCCCTAAACCCAACAACCCCTGTACAAACCCGAAGCCCTAAACCAACAAGCCCTATAAAAACCCTAAGCCCTAAACCCTAAACTCACTAAAATCCCTAAAAATCCTAAACCCTAAAACCCCCCAAGTCATGGGAAGCACCTGAGAAGACCTGCTCGACCAAGGCCGGACCCTTCGTGTCCACATAGAAACCTCAGGCTTCAGGCTTTAGGGCTTAGGGTTTAGGTTGGTTTAGGGTTTAGGGTTCAGGGGTTCAGGGATTAGGTTGGTTTAGGGTTTAGGGTTCAGGGGTTCAGGGTTTAGGTTGGTTTAGGGGTTCAGGGTTTAGGTTGGTTCAGGGTTGAGGGGTTTAGGGGTGTAGGGCTTAGGGCTTAGGGGTTTAGGTTTAGGGTTCAGGCCCCCGGCTTTAGGGTTTAGGTTGGTTTAGGGTTCAGGTTTTAGGTTGGTTTAGGGTTTTAGGAAACTTGATTGTCGGCATCCTCGACGTTCTGCTTCAATTGAGGCTGACGGTCGCGAATCTCATCGCTGCCCCGCACGCATAGCAAGACAGACGTCGGTTCCGGGTTGAGCCCCTAAACCCTAAACCCTAATGAGCGGTTGGATCCAGAGACTCCCAAGGATCCTCAATTCTCTAAGGGTCCATGTACCCAAATAGTATATACTTTGTTTGGGGCCGAAGTATATACTATTTGGGTACATGGACCCTTAGGGATTAAGGATCCGACTATAAGTTAATAGGTCTGTTCCTTAGTTAAGGGATGTTGGAGTCTCGGGGGATTACGTTCCCTACCCCAAAAGTTTGCCCAGTAAGACGCAGTAGCTAATCAATTAGTCGGTTAGTGTGGCAGTGTGTCAGTGTGTCAGTGTATCTGTCGGTCGGTTGGTTGGTCGGTCGGTCTGTCTGTCTGTCTGTCTGTCTGTCTGTGCGTGTTTTGTTGAATACAACACAGACAGTGACAGACATATTGTCAAAAAATATAACACGCACGTGCTGGTTTGCTCTTGACGCAGTTGACTCACGAAGGGTTTCGGCTTCGCCAGCTGATGGACTTACTTCAGTCGGCAAAAGCCCTCGCCGCAAACTCCAAACACTGTAAGCCACGCCCCTGCACCCTCGTTTGGGGGTTCAGGGCTTGCAGGGAGTTCGGTTTAGACTTAAAGTTCCAGGTCCCACAATCAGCACTCTACTCCTGAAAACCGAACCGACTTGAGCTCGAGTCCCCAAAGCACACTGAAGCCTGAACCCTTAGACCCTTCCCAGGGTTTAGGGTTTAGGGCATAGTCTCCATGGTAGTTCCTTTCGTTGGTTTACGTGCTTTTATAATTTAGGATTCTAAAAGGCAGCCCCCAAAAAGGAACTACAATGGAGTCTACAGTCTACAGGTAAACTCCCTAAACCCTGGAACTTAATCCCTGAACCCGAAAGAATCCTTGGAGCTCAAAGCCTCTGCACCTCAACCTGATGCCGAATATGCATGCCTTCACGGTTCGAACATAAGGCTTTGGGGGGTACTACTGTTGATAAAATAAACCCTGCATGACCTTAAGGACCCTAGGCCGTAAACTATGGCAATTGTGGTATATTCCTTCTCATGGGTAATGCAGGATTTATATCATCAACCGTACGTTGTACTTTTGACCAGGAACCTCTCAGGAAGAATGCTATGCTACCTATGCCGGCCCCCTGTATTGAACCCTTAAACCGTTAACCCGTTAATCGCGGGTTACTGTCTAAACAGATACAAGCAAGCAAATAACAATCGGAGTGCATGTTATATCTACATATATATATATGTCTCCATACCGTTTAACACACCAGATACATTCTCAATTCTGGACTTGGGGAAGCGGGCACGAATGAAGCAACGGAAGTCAGTTCAGGTAAAACGCAGCAAAGCTCCAAGAGCAAGCCTAGAAGCCTTTTTGACCATATCGTACCCTAAACCCTATACACCCTAAACCCCAAACACCTCGAACCTAAACCCCCTGCCTAAACTCCAAGACATCCTGATAATAACTGGGTGCCCGAGCCATCCAACAGAGCCAACAGATCTTCCCGGGGCGTTGGGGCATCCTCGGCCAAAGGGAACGGCTCTGGCTTTCAATGGATTTAGGGTTTAGGGTTCTATCAGTTTCTATTTGTCTATAGTATGCGAAGTGCTATGCAGGAAATCTATCTGAGGGCTGGAAAAGGGCTGATCCCTGTTCGCGATACCGTGTCTTCAGGGTTGAGGCTTTAGGGTCTAGAGGGTGAATAGTGTTTACGGGGTGAAGATTCAGGCTGTCTCGCTTTGCAGGTCCCCTTGTACGGTGTTTGAAAACCTTTGGTGTCCCCAGGCTGTTCCAGGCTCGCTGGAGCTTCTGCGCGGTATACCCTAAAACCTGAATCCCAATCTTGTAATAAACGCCAAACCTTAAGACTCCGAGTATACAAATAGTAGTAAATAATAGCTGCTTGGGGTGGGGCTGGAGTCTACAAGTACCTACGGTCTCCATTGTAGTCATTTCTGTAAACGAGGTCTAGATGTAGGATCCCACAATGTAAGCAAGAAGAGGAAGTACCATGGAGTCTATAAGTAGCACCTGCGTTGAGCCCGGGCCTTCAACTGAACCGCAGCCCCCCCCCCAAAAAAAAAAAA